TTCAACAATATAATTAAAATTTGTAAAATGCTACTACTTCCTTGGTAATGATGCCAAAAAACTTAATAGGGGATGCGGAGTAAAATTTGGATTATAAAAAAGTTTAATGCTCTATCTCCCCTAAATAATACTTATGTTTTTTTAATATTAAAATAAAAAATCTCACTTAATGTACGCAAGTATACATGTCGAATCAAGTCATAAAATAATAGAGTAGAGTGTTGAACCCATGAAAAAGTATATTTTTTAGCAATTAACTAATGTTGTTTACTTTAATTGTAAAATTATCCTGCTGAAATAAAATTATCTGTTGTGGAGATTCAATCGCTGAATAAAAATAGTAAAATAATGGATATAATATTTAAATAAAGTGTTTTGAATTGATGAATGTAAATTATATATCTTTTCTAATAAAATTCTTATTTTTAATGTGATTCATGGTATATATATCCCTAGATCCTAGATCTTTGTCGAGCTTGTAGTGATGAAAATGATATGTGCTGACCTCCTAAAGTTATATCATCTCCTTAAAAATCTAGCATATTTTACATCCTATATTTAGGTATGCAAATATATTATTTCAATATTCATGGTTGTTCTTGCATTTCTTCATCGAGACTAAATATCACACTAGGTTTTAACTATACATATGATCACTGTGAATTAAATAAAGAATGGGACAATATTAAAAATAGAATTTCACTTTTAGAGCACAAGAATCTTCATTAGAACTTAATATAATTTCTACATCATCAATCCAAAACTAGAAAGTTAGCCCAACATAAAAAAAAGATAAGCAAACTTATTTTCATTAAAATCATAGAAGAACAAAAATACAAGAGAATGATATCACCATGAATGATCAATGTGTCTCTTCTACACTTCTTCTTCCTTAATATACGGAATTGTTTTAACAAATACTAACTAAACACTCTAATGATTGTATCTAGTACTTCCCTAGTCGATCTCTCCTAGATTTGACTCTAAGAGAGATCTAAAGAAGTACTCTGAAAAGTACTGAAATTATACAAGTGACTGAATCCCCTTACAAATATAACATAATAAGTATTTAAGGAGAAATATAAATTATGCAACTAGCGCTGTGACACCTAAAAGATTGGACGCGTAGGGCCCACAAAATGAACTAACGTTGTTGTGCTGATGTTTTTGCTCCGTTGCAGTGCATGCTAACGTGGATTAATTATTTAGTGAACAGTTGTATCGTTTCGCTGATAGATCATGCCATTTGGAAGTTACAACTGTTGTGTCATGTTGCTGCAGACTTTCAAATGCTACAGCACCCGAGTGTCAATTTTGACGCAGAGGCGTGATATTTTGTGACACCGCAACACTTAAAGACACTAAACATGCCACTACAAAAGTGACCATTTTGACACCACGACACTATCCAACAGAAAAGTCTGTGCCGCCTTGCCAATGTTGTAACGCTCCCTCGGTGCCCTTGATGGCATTGCAACATTGATTTGTCTAACGTCGCGGTGCTCGATGATACTTAAAATTTTGTATCTTTTTATATTTTTTCTGCACAATGCAAATAAATCAATACATTTTCACTAAAATATAACACATAAAATATTGCATTATTTACACTTATGAGCTATCAAAAGGCTTTTACCATCTAGTGCAGAAAGACACTCTTTTTAGCTCGAAAGTTTCCAAATAAGTGAACTCATATTAAGAAAGGTCAAAGCATTTGGAGGAAATCAGATAAACAAAATATCCAGCATAAATTTTTCAAGATTGCACATAGTGAAAAACAATTATTAAAGTAAATCAGCACAATTATGTAAACAATTCAAATTTAATTTAACTATCTCTTTAAAAATATCTTGACATAACTCGACAAATCAAATAATTCTTATGTTTCAACTCACACTTATTCTCATAGTTTACCTTTTGTGATAATGTATTAATTACTCAATTAGATGCTCTAAGTATATATTAATTATTGTAATAAATTCATGACAATTCGAAAAGAAAAATCTTGTGGCATTAATTCTTAAATGCTGCATTGATTTGTGTTAATCATATAACGATTGCCCAACAAAGATGGTCTCCAATGGCACATGGCTTTATCCACATAAAATTCATGAGTACATGTGAAAGCATTTTTACATTATAAGTGACACTAGTTTCTGACTTAAATATGTTATTGCATAAGATTTTATTTGCAACGGCTTTCTTATAATTATATGAAAAGTTGAAAAGGATATATATATATTGAGATAGATTTAGGATTTGTTTTGGTGTGCTTTGCACGTTGAATGCTTGCATATTCATTTCTATTTGTGTACAACTCATGACTTATGTTAAATTTATGTGGAATCTAATTGTGTTGATCAATCAGGGATCAATCAGGTTATATTGTTGACTCATACTTCAAGTTCATTAGTTGAGTTCGACAAGGAACCCACTAGGGTTACAGGGGGGCAGCATGCCTCTTGCTCAGGGGTTCAAGGGCAAAGTCCCTGAAAAAAAAAAAAATTCTTGTCCGTACAACACGACAGCAGTGTAGAACGTACTCCTTTGAGATAGAGAGCACAATGCAACAATGTTGCATTTTACAGCACTACGACATTACAATATAGAGAAGTTAGCTCTGAGGCATTCAAGTGCAACACCACAGAGCTGTGATTTAGGCTTAAAGGATTGCATCCGATTTTGAGTTTTTCCACGTTAAATCCTTGTATTCATTTCTGCAGTTTTGTTTTCTCTTTTCTTGTTTGCTTTTCATTGCATGATTTTATTCCCAACATCTTCTTCACCAATTTTGCTAATTATAAAGCTTGTAACAATGATTTTGATTATTGAGCTCGCACCTCTAGTTAAATATTATGGCAAAAATTCAGAGGTATGCATGAATTTTGGATTGATAGTTCTTCAAAACTATTATAGAAGTTCCAAACTATTGTTGTTTGATGTAATTTTGCTAATTCTTCTTCTAAATAATGGGAAAAGAAGGGACCAAAATGTTGTATAAGCTTCTTTTGAATGCTGTATTATTATTTCAATGCATCCACTGAAATCAACTCAGTGCCATTCCATTTAAACACATCAAAGCTATGATGAAAATTTTTTCCTTAGATATATGATAAATAAGAAAATTTCATTGACTTGGAAAATATATCCCTGTGGAATATGCCCATTAATTAAAATGTGATATTTATATCTTATATATATGATTATTTAAATTGCAAAATATAGCTTTTGGATTGTATCCAAATGATGTGCTTAAACAAGATGAACCATCCTTAACATGTTTATGATTTGCTTGCGAAGTGTACTAGACCTTTTCCTTAATCAATGATAATCTTCAAGGCATCCTATTCAGTAGTAGGGGTATCAATAAATTATCTAACACAACAACTCGATACTGACCCAACTCGAAAAATTTAGTTCAGACCAACCCGACTAAATTTTGGTTTACTTTGGGTCTGAAATATTGATTCAATTGAATTTTCTAGCGAAAACCCCAAACTTGACCCAATTATTATTCGGTTTGCATTAACTGTGTTGTGTTCAGGTAAATTGGCTCGTGTTGTTGCTGAATGGTTGTGTTCAGGTTTATCGGCACATTGAATTAAAGGTGTACAAAGAATTTTAAGATAAGGTTGAGTCGACAAGAGGAAGAGTTCCTATTTAGATATATTCTTTGAGTACTAACTTTTCTCTTTTTTTTTTTTTTTTACTGAATCATATTACAATTTTTGGTAGAGTTTTGTTAAATCCCCTGCCTAAACATAGGTGATTTTATTAAATAAAAATTAAACTAATTTTAAGTGTGCAAATTTTGACCACAATAATAGCATTTAAGATAAATAAGTAAAATTCTCTTTCAAAAGCGACAAAATTGACTCAAAACAACATAAAAATTAATATTCTAAGAGAAGAATTGAGTTATTATTTTTTATTTTTTAAAGATAAAATAATATATAAATAATTTATATTATACTATATCAAAATAAATTGAAAATTTTTAAAGCTCATTTTGATAAATAATTAAATCTAATTAAATTCTATTTATATAATTAACTAGCAATCATGATTTAAAATTGTAATTTAAACCTACAAGTGCTTTTGAGTTTCATTTTGGATAACTTTCTTACTTTCTTTTTAAAAATATTTTTTTAATATAAAAATTTTCACAATAAGAAAAATTGTCTCAAACGAAGCCTCGTCTCAAATTAATCTGTTAAATCAAAATTTAAACCAACAAAATGCCTCGGTTTATAATCTAATGCGAACTTTTATTCTCATCTAGTAATATCTATACCAATATTCGCGATCTAGATATTGCTACATGAGAATGAATGCATGTATTGAATTGAGAACCTTTGTTTACATCTTATTATATATTTTGGGGTTGGGGTGGGGGGTGAGGAATCCTCCCACTGGTTAGGTTCGGGTGCAAAGCAATATAATTTTTTTTTTCCCGTACAATGCCCCGGCACTGTGTACCTAAGCGCCGCGGCGTTGCAAAAGTCTGTTGGAAGAAATGATAGAGAGCGGAGCGCCAAAACGCTCCAAATTCAATGCTGCAACACTGTTAAGCGGACTAAAGACGGAGTGTTGAGCGCCAACTAGCTTCACAACGCTTCAAGTCGGACCAAACAAATTTTCATTCTTGCTTTTTTCAAGGCCCTTATGGTATATTCAAACATTTCTCTTTTGGATAATATGTAAGAATGATGTAAGAAAGCATAAAAGCAAGCAGAAAGCGAGAGATAAGATAGATCTGTATAAATTTCTCTCAATTTTTATAGTAAATTTCTTGATGTATTGTCTCCGCGATTTTTCCCAATTTCAAAATTTTCTACATTAAATCTTGAAGTTCTTTACTTTCCATTGCATTTCTATTTTCTTATTTATTTCATTTCGTGATTTACTTTCGCATAAGAACACTTAGCTGGTGATAAAGCTAGAAATTGGCCATGAATGCTTAGAAAGACTTTGAGCTGTGAATCTCTCAATAAGAACACTTAGAAATCGGCCATGAATGCTTTCACTTCTGATGATAAAGCTACACGTATTTATTTCTAAAATTACAGGATTTTGTGAGCACAGCAAAATCGAATTGTATAAGCTCATGACTACAGATTTTCCAGGCAATAGAAGGCAAAGAAACAAATAAAAGAAAAGCTTCAATGTATGAAAATCAAGTGGGGAAAAAAGGGTTTTTGAACCTTTTTATATGTCACAACATTGCCAGTTACTGCTTGATAATCTTGCCTTTCTTCTCTCAGGTGAGAACCCTTCATCCATGGCTTTCCTTTTGTTGCCACTTATATTAGTACTATTCGTGCTACTCTTCATGTTGTCAGTTATAGTGTTCTCACAAGTAACAGTGCAGAAGCCATTGTTAATGTTGTTTTCCAGCTGATTTTCTTTCGATTTCCCTTTCAGTATGCGAGGCATTAGCTTATTCATATCAGATTGCTTCACTGGTTTTAGTAAGAATTCTTCGGCTCCTTCTTCCAAGCATCTGTGATCATCACAGATAAACACATGAAAAATAAATAAATAAAGTCAAACTCACAAATCTAGACAAAGAAATAACTTTGGCATATCCACACAAAATCTTGAATTCTCATTTCTTATTTATAGATAATAAAGTAGTTGCTTCTATGAGAAATTATTAGATGTGGAGTCCGGACACGTAGAGATACATCCGGACTCCAATAAAATATTGACACGTGGATATTCAATTGGATTTATTTTTTATTTTATATATTTAATGTGTCCGCAGAATTTTAAGCCAAGCGCATCAAAAGCACAGTCAAAGCGCAATCAAAACACAGTAAAAAACGCAATAAAAGAACAATCAAAACACAACTAAAGCGCATGTAAAACATACAAAAAAGTGTAACCAAAGTGCACTCCACGTGTCAAAATTTAAGTGCATGTCCGGACATATCTCTGTCTCTGCACCTAATAATTTTTCAATAACTCTTAAAAAAAATCATATATATATTGATGTCATTTCACAAAAGTTGAAGTGATGCATGAGGATCATAAAAATATGATTTATATCTAAATTTATTTAAGTAGTGAAGTATCATTCAATAAAGATTTGGTGTGTACTCTTTTCTCTTTCTCTTTCTCTTTCTCTTCCTCTTTTTTAAGATGGTTAAGCGATTTCATAAAAGTTGAAATGATTCGTGAGGATCAAATAAAATCTAGCATAGAACAGGGAAATATTTATGGATGTTTGACAGAAGAGGAAAGAGCACTGGATTAAAACGACCAACACTTTTCTTTTATTCCTATTCGCAGATTCCACAGAGCAAAACTGGGAAATTTATATTTATTTTGGGGGAAGCATGGAACTTACCCAAATCTGGAGAAGATTTTGTTAGGCAGGAAAAGGACATAATCTTTAATAATACGTAGATATAAGTAGAGATTTTGCACAGCAAGAAATTTATGACCGCTCACTTCTTTGTTTGGGAAAGAATAACGTGTGAAAGAAACAACAAGAGAAAAAAAAGTCCATCTCAACCATTTAATAGCTTCACTAATGGAGGTGACATTCTATCATTTAAGACGAAACAGAGCTACTGAAGATGTTCTGCACTTCCTCTATTCATTTTTTTTTCATACTAAGCTATTTCTAATAAAGATAAGATCCTATCATCAAATTAAGGCTCGTGTGGGACAATTTTCTTACCGGTTTATGAAGTAGTTTTTTAATTAGAAATTTTTATATTAGAAAATTACTTCATGAAACAATAAGAAAGTAGTCCCAAATTAAGCCTAAGCCTATTTTTTAAGAAAAAAACCAGTGATAAATTTAAAACTATGTGATTCAAACTTATGATAAAAAAAATTTATACTTTAATCATAAGGTAACTGTTGAAACTTGAAGCAGAGGAAGAAGCACTTCCTCTTGAGTTTCTTGAGGGAGGGAAGAGAGAAGAGGAGAGGGAGAAGAGCTGAATTTTAATTCTTAATCATGCCAACCTAATACAGAAACTTAAGAAAATACAAATCTAAATCCAGGACCAATATCCAACAGTAACAAATCCTTTCACAATCAAACTTATTTTAGGTTCTACATGGAATTTTCCAAAATTTATTAACAAATTAACGAATTCCCTTCTCCTTTATTTGTGATAAGAATAACCAATAGAAATTTAAACAACAAACAAATTACCCAAACATTACACTATTAATTTAAAATGCAAAAATATTATTTGAAACAGGGTAAGATGCATTTCTATTTGAGAAAAGTTTCACCACAATTCTGGTGTTTATTCATTCAATTGAGGATCTATTTGGTTCACTACTATTTGGATATCATATGCAATTTAATCTACATAACATGGTTGGTAACAGTTCATCGATTAACAATATAAAGTTTCATTGCATGCATTAACCAAATAGCTACTTATTATTATAATCTTTCTTTTTACACAGGTGTAGTGAAACGATGAAAAAAGAGCATCAGTCCCTTAAATAGAACTTTGAACTCAATATAAAACTAAAATGAGCTGCTTCTCACCTGTTGATCCTGGAAGGCACGTTTTCAGATGACATAATCACAACAGGGATATCCTTCAAAGCCGATGACTCCTGAATAAACCATCAACAATGAACTCTCACAGATTTCCACAATTATTGAATCAAACAAACAAACGAATTGAAAACTTTGTAGGAATCATTAAAAGATAAAGAAAAAGTAAAAAAAATAAAAAGCATATAGAAAAGATTACCTTGATTTTTCTCAATAGATCATACCCAGTCATCCCAGGCATGCTGTAGTCGGTGATAACCAAATTCACATCAATCTCCTGAATGAAAAAGAGAAGACCTAAAACACGAATCTCCAAAAATCCCTCAAAATTAAGATTAAAAGATGGTCTAGTGCTCACATTCTGATAAGGAGGAGCAGATGGGGGGCTCTTCAAATCCTCGCGAAGGCCGAGTAACTCCAGTGCTTTGCTTCCTGACTCTACCGCCGTCACTAAAAGGGAGAAATAAAGCAATTAAAACTTATCAAAATCAACATCCAAGCGTCAAATTAGATTAAAAAACGAAGCAGAACAAATCAAAACGCTAATCACTCAGAGGTCATTTTCTTATCATGTCGAGCTAGAATACCTTGGAAGGATGAAATCCTAAGCAATCGCTCAATGAGTTTTCTATCAATGATGCTGTCATCCACTGCCAATACGTGGAACTGCGTCTCTGTAGCTACGGCCATAATATGAATATCCTCCTCAAACTAATAAGCTCAAGAAATGGATATGGATTGAAATAGAGAAAGATACTGAAGAAGGGGATTAATTACTGGCTTTTCCTCTCCCTCTGTTCCGTCCTTCTGTTCTATTCCACCTTCATAATGGAATCTTCGCCGCAGAAGCAAAGAAAACACAAACCCCACCAAAATCCCAGCACATCAAAACCAAGATCCGATCGTATATCAACTGAATCTTCAACTCTTCCTCAACAATTCGCTCCGATTTGAATTACAGAGCAAGCAAATGAGCTCTCCAACTTTACCTCCTATCTTGCTCGGTGGCCGCAGCTTTAGTTTTTTACCAGATGGCCGACTGTGGTACGAAGACCCGCGGGTTCAGCATAAGTGTGATCATCAATGCTGAAATCCGCGACAGCTCTATGGTGTGGAAGCGTGGGTACGTACAATGCAGGATAATGAGGATCTCTGCGGGGACAGCGTTGAAGCAAGTTTGTGTTTGTCGCATTTGCCAATTTGGTCCTCCAACTTAATGGAAATTGCATTAATGCTGTTGACTGAGGCAGACTTCAAAATGATCTGACTGAGCTTTCAAGATCTCGTTCGATTTTGAGAGGACGAGCAAATCGTTTTGCAGAAAATTTTTTACATTTACGACTGCTTTTAGTTATTTTATACTTAAAATATGTGATTTGTTATTTAATGATAGAAATATGTAATTGAACCGTGGACCGATTAGTTGTCTGATCCGATCCAGTTTAAACGGCAAATCGGTCTAAGTTTGAAAGAACTGGCCTGTTTTAATTTTTTTTTTAAATAAAATATAAATAATATATTTTACTTTATTATATTTTTTGAAATAAATTTTTTAATTAAATAATAAGATTTTTAATACCATATATAACATATGGATGTCATCTCATAAAATAAATTTTGTTAGAAAAAATGGAATTATATAAAAAACAAAAAGGTATAACTCGGTATTGGTCTTTACATGATGATATTCCTCGTTATTATCAAATAATACCTAGCAATACCGAGCAAAAAATGAGTTTTTTGGCGGTGGGAGGACATATCTCTACGTCAGGTGGGAGGACGCAATAAAAATTCCTCCTTATCCGTGTCTTATCCAATGATATAATTTTCTATGATACCTATTGGACACTAAACAAAGTAGAAAGGAGTTCCAAATATATATCTATCACATAAATTTTTATACTTATTTACACAACATTCAAACCTTCAAATTATATTGAAAAAGCCACTAACATTAATTTATTTAAAATAAAATATCTTTATATTTATATACATTGATATGATTTAAACACTATAATTGTGTATAAATAAATATAAAAATTTAAATATTAAATATATATATATAAAATTATGCAATAAGTATTGAAATAATCAAACATGTTATGAAATTTAAAATTATATGATAAAAAAATTAATTTATTAAAGTTTTTTATTTAATTAAATTTATTTAAAAATTAACATGATTTAGAACATTATAAATAATTTTCAAATTGGTCAATTTGAAGGTTTAATCTAAAAAATGATAGGATTCGAGTTAAAATGAGCCAAAATCAAATACTTATGCATAGTTGAAAGCTTCATGGCGTTCATTTGGATGACTAAATGATCTATGAATCTTACATGCTTACAATCAAATTAAGCATCTCTAAGAGAGAAATCTAACAAATTTAAGATCATTAAATTTTAAGGTCATTGATGCATTTAAATACGAAAGGAACAATGGATGATCAAGAGAATTAATATTGAGTTGTTTGATGGTGTTGTTGGACTTTAACCAAAACAAATAAAACACAACTTTCAAAAACTATAAATAGACACCGTTATCCAAATGAAAGAGGGAGACTTGACCTTAAGCTAAATTTAGATAGCTTAGAGTTCTACTAGACATCCGACACCAAATCACCAATGGTTACTAGAAACAATAGTTGTTGTCTAATTACGCGCGCTAGTAATTATTATCACCTAATTATAGTCTCCTGTTCACCATCATTCATCCATTAGTATCAAACTACAATTTCTTGATCATCGTTTCCATATTACGATTTCCTAACTACCATCATCTGATAATAATCTCCAAACTTCCATTACCAAATTACCTTCACCAGATCATTATCTCCTAACCATCAGCATCTAATCATTGCTCTATGACTAGAATCTCCTAACCATTGTTATCAAACTATGATCTTCTGACCACTATGCATGATTATAACTTTGTGACAATCATTGATTATTTATAGCCTCGTGAACGCTATTGTTCGATTATATAAATGCATGTGAACTTCCTCGCTTAACATCACCGAAAGTGTTAATGCATGTCATTACTTATAAGACTTATACAAACTTTCAATGCATGAAATTCATATGCACTATCACTTTATGATGATCATGATGCATATAGTCGACATCAACCCTATCAATACTAGCCACTTATCATTCAAGATCATAAAACCACTCTAAACCCTACTTATAAAGCCTAGGTAGCCAACTATCTAATATTATTTTCTAAACCTCAACAAGGCATTAATCCCAATTAAATTCCGCCAAACATAAGCTCACATCCTAAGCTACCTTTCTACCATAAATTTTTTTTTTCAATATATTCCCTAAGGAGAATGTTTTAAATAAGTAGTCTTGGTTTTTCTTTAATCATAGCCCTCTTAAGAAGCAAGCAGCTTTGGTTTCAACTTCTTAAGTAGTATAATAATTTGGCTCGAAAAATAATCTGGTTAGTTCAATTACTTACATTTTACTATCAAAATCAATTAGTTCATCAAATGAGTCTTTAGAGGATGCGACTCATATCACATAAGCCAAGTACTTCACAATTTAAAAATCTAATAAAATTTTCATAAATTTTCTCGTTCTACTTTTTTTTTTTTAAACTCAAATCATATTTATCAATAACTTGTGATATCGCCTAAAAATAATTTTATGGTCCGTTGAGACTGTTGTAATTTTTTTATAAAGATAGTTGTAAAATTACCGTAGAGAAAATGACGTTTTTGAAAGCTAGAGTAGAAAACAGCTTCGTAGCATAGTTGTCAAATAAAGAAGTAGTTATAGTTTGAAAAACAAAACAGTAATAAAACCGTTCCAATTGAAATCATAAATTCATCACATTTTTTCTAATGATAAAAGAGAATACGAATCACTTTCAATAAACAAAACTTATTAAACGTGTGTGGGCATCTCCAACTGGAAAATATATTTTCTACATCAAAATACAATAAGGGACATATCAAATAATAATTCATCTCCAACCGAACTCCATTTCTATTTTAAAAAAATATTTTGTACATATTCTTTCTTTATCCATTTTTTTTAAATGCATTCGTGAACAGTGGGACGCCAATATCGTTGTCACACTGTTACTGCTCGGTTGGAACGCTCACGAGAACTGCAAACATCCGAATAACGTTCGGTTGGAGATGCCCTAACAACAACCAAGCAAGATTTGATAATATCAAGTGATAGAATTTGCTTTCTTATATTCATTTTTTATTACAAGAGATCGCCACGAAATATTGTGTGTGAATACGAGAAATAGGCGTAGTCATGTGACGACCGCTTGGAAAAGGTAAGAATGAGAAGTAGCTGCGCATGCATGCATGCAAATTTTGGGAAAATGGAAGCTTGACCTGGGCCACTAGCGATAATGTCGTGGGGGGCCCGTCTATTGATTTGGTGGGCCTGGCGGTGGCCCGCAAGATCTGCTATGGAGATTCGCTAACGTCATATATTACCCGATTTTTCCTCCACGAAAGTCAGTCGTGAAAGGTCCGGCCCCTCCATGTGATCCGTGCTTTTTGCCGCACGGAAGTTTTATGCGAATAATGCTGTACTTTTTAAAAAAAAAAAAAAATTAGTTGAGGAGCGGGCTTAGGTATATTTTGAGGGTAAAGCAAACTAAATATAATTTTTTTTAAAAAAAAATTCAGTTATTTAAATGGCTGTGTTTTAATGTAAAATATTTTATGATAAATTTAATATTTATTAATTAGCTTATTTTTAATATATTCAAAATTTATTCAATTTTCTGAAGTTTAAAATTCCATTCCGATCTTAGTCATTTTGCCTACCTATTGTCACCAATTATCACTACTACAGTCATCAATCACCACCACTGTTGGCGATCATCACCCACTGTATGTGATCACCGTTGCATTATTATTGTATATTGCATTAATTTGACTTTGAAAAAAATACAGAAAAAAAACTTTTGCATTTGTAGACTAAGGGAAGAAACCAAACTCTTTTGAGGGTAGACAAAGTAGGATCATAAAATACATAATCTTATATATGAATTATGAAAAAAAAAATTTCTTAGAATTTGGCCAACAACATTTATTGAAGTTGGACAAGATAGTTAAGGGTGGGCAATAGCTCACCTTGAGCTTTACCTGATTCCACCCATGTTTGTGGTGTATTCAACCAAACAATTCGAAAATATTTTTAATATTGATATGTCACAAAAAAAAATAATCTTGATCGAGCACGAGTCTCGATGTAAATATGGATTGAAAATTTCTAAATTAAAATTTTGGATCTTCAAAACTCTAATTTCAGCAAGCTTATAGCCAAATTGAATATCTCAAAGAGATGAGACCAACGACACCAAATTCGGTCCAATCTGAGCCCAAATAAGCCCAAATTAAAGGACCAAAGCCTATTTAAAATATTAAAGTATTAATTGGATGAATACATTATATTTAAATATGACATGCTTATGGTTGAATCGAGCGGATCGACTAGACGAATCTAACAAGCCTAATATCACTCAATTCTGATATCTCTAAACCACTTGCTTGATAACCTATCTATGATCAATGAGGGTAATACCAACTGTCTGATAGAACACTCTCAATATGTCCTTGATCTTCTTCATATTTGTTAATAATGCCACTCCTAAAAAACTATAAATAGACCTCCCCATTCTTCACATTGGGGGAAGGAGGAAGGAGAAAGAAGAGAAAAGCTCTAGGGCATAAAGAATCCTGAAGCTCCACCTCATCACTATAGTCGATGAATTCGATCCACTAGTGTAATAGCTCAAACTCTTAAGTATCGAGATATTGTCCGTTTTGGCCTAAGAGTCTCATAGTTTTTCATGTTAGTGTAACTTCCCAGTATGTCACCCATCTCAGAATTGCTTTGGGATGAGCATGCTTAACTACGGAGTTTTTTAAATGAAATTTCAACCACTACATCAAAAGATGCCTCGATATTTAAGAGTTTAACTTCTTTTACTTAAGGGGTTTCACAATCTCCTTAAGTGAATTCCCTTATGAAAAAAGAAGCTAAACTCTTAAACATTGATGTTCCATTTG